ACGGAAGAACCCCGAAGAAAACATCCATAGAGGAAGCTCTTGGCGAAGCATCCCGGCATCCCCTGTTGGGGCTTTGCGTGTGATATGTTTTGGCAGAAGGTGACTTAATTGTTTTAAGTTGTTTGCTCGGCAGGTAAGCGGTCACAGGTTTGACCCATGGCCAGTCGGTTGCAGCCCTAAATTTGAATAGAACTCAAAAACAAAAAACACTTGCCCAAAAAAGTGAGTTAGCCACACGAGAAAACAATTCAAAATATTCCCACGCGGAACCCAACAAGAAGGTTCAAGAGAATATTCCTCTATGAGTGTCTCTTGGGTTCCATGCTAAGCGGGGGTTCCGTTTGAACCAAGGATCCTTTTTGTTGGCCAAAAGTAGGGAGTTGGATCCCAATGAAAAACCAGCAACCCATTCATGGTCCAAAGAGTTGATCCCAACTTGATCCCAACTCTTCGCTTCCTCTTGCGGTTTTAAATCCAAGTCGCAAGCCAAGCTCCGTGTGTGGCTTGCACATATCCGATAGAAACGAGGTGGTGGAAGCTCACCGGTTCTTTGGGGCATGGGAAAACCAGGTTCTTAGGTTGATGTTGAAAGGAGGCCCCTACCGAAATGGGCCAAACAAGGCGACGCTGGAGAAGACCGAGGAACCTGTCCCAGAAAAAGCGGGGCCCCAGCCCGGGAGACCAAAATGAGGAATTCCGCATCCGGAGCCCGGCCATCCGAATTTCGGGGAATCCAGAACCGGTGAAACCAGATGAGGCGAGCGGCCTTTTTGGGAGGGGACTGGATGCGAAATCTGCGCCATGAGAGACTTCGATGCTGGACAGAGTTCCTTTTTTGACCTTGGGGTAGACTTAAACCCAAGGGTTTCCCTTTTGGGGGAATCAACCACCGCGCGTATATTAAGTCTTAGTCAGAAAACGGAACGGATACCACTAGAGATACGAGCAGACACTCCAAGAGGTCGCCCAGTTCTTGGCTGTTAGACTAGCTTTTTTGGTTGAAACAGTGGAGTTGTCCACACCCCCGAAAAGTGATTCATGTGTTGCAGGGGCAACAGAAACCAAGAATTGGTCATTGAAACAAACCTTGCGGAGAGGCGCGACGCCGCGACGGAGGCAGTGCCCATCACAGCTCAAGATGCGTCACCTCATCCAAAGCGAAAATAAATCCGGGGTTTCGACTTGCCAAGAGACAAAGTTCCCAGGTATCACTGTCAAGGGTCCACCAGTTTCTTCGGATGTTCAAGCAACAGGTAAGTAGGTTATAAGCATGGTACGGGGACGATCACCCCAGTTACCCAAGTTATAACCGTGGTTAAGACCTACTTGCTACTCTTACAAAACCAACTTGAGTATGTCCAGCTGCTACATATATGCTGCTTTGTTTGTTTGACACAAGAACAGAGTGTTCTGATGGTTGCCATCTTGGTTGGCCACTTGACGTGATGCCTCGCTGGTGCTTGGCCAGGCCGGCGCTTGAAGATGTTGGTTGCAACATGTTGCGGCGCAAAGGCGTTCGGTGTTTGCAAAGGTCCATTGCAACTGGGAATCCTGACTGTGGGTTGGTGAACTAACGCATCCCGGTGCTGAACATGAGTTGGACTTGTTCAGCATCCTGTATTGTATAGTGTTTTTGTCCACGGGCAACGGCCAAGAAAACCACCCGAGCACAGCTCCGAGCTCACCACACTCGCAATGAGTCATTAATGACGGCAGCAGGAGGCCCAGATTTGAAACACCTGAAACTCCTAGTTTTCAGAGGGTTTCCTGTAGATAGCCCGGAGAACGGCAAAACAGAGAACTAACCCGGAGACGGAGGACCCAAAACCAGAATGAGCTTCTCTCTGCGATTTTGTGCTTTTTTTGAGGTTTTTCTTTGTTTTCCACTGACCAGGCAACAAGAATAGATTTTGGCAGAGGTGCTAATTCCAGCGGACTACTGTGGACGGTTGCGAACTCCATTTCGCACCTAAGAAACCCTGGTTTCTGACTCGATTCCCCAACGCAAATGACAACCAACTAACAAGTCCCACCATGGTCTCCAAGTGGAGGGAACGGATTTCGTGCATCCGCAATATGACCACAGGACCTAGACGATTAGAATCGGATTGCGAAGTACCGTGAAAGAGAAAGTAAACTATGAGACTATGAGTAATTGAGTGGCCTCTGATCAGTCGGCTCAGACGATTTCATCAAACTGCCCCATCCGCCTGTTGCTTGTTCTTTGCGCACAGGTGCGGCCCAGACAGCCCAGGCTGGTTGTCTGCGGGGAGCCGGGGTGGGCAACGCAAATAGGAAACCAACAAACAAAACGGCAAGCAGCCAAAAAGCATGCAAGCAAACAAACACTGTCATGCGAAGCTGAATCTCCATTCCTCGTTCCTTGTCTTGTGCAAATCTGGGAAGGCAATGTAAGACAACAAGCTTGGACGTAAATCCAATCAATGCTTGACCCCACCTGCCTGAAACCTTCTGAAACTCGCTGTGCCGCTCAGCCATCGGCAGATCAACCCCGCTGAGGAATTTGCCTCTTTTCAACTCGCGGGCTAGCTGCTGGGCACTTGGGTGGTTGTGGACACGCAGCCGCTCACATTGCCGCTATTTGCTCAAGGCCAATCGGCCCAGAGACACAAGGCCAATCGCCCACGTCTGATATATCCCACTCGTGTCCATATATCTCTGATGCGACTCTACTTCCATTTCCTGGCCATCATCTTGGCAGTTGCAGAACGCCCTCGGCGTGGCCAGGAAGCGCTGGACGTCGATGAGTTGTCGGCGCCCGGAAGCAACTCGTCCAGGTTCTAAGATTCTTGCATTTTTGTCGGTGTCATATGACGGGAAGAACAGTGTCTTGTTGCAGGTTGCACTTTCTTTTGCATGACGGAACGACTTAAACACAGATGCTCCAGGAGTGGGGAAGTCACGCTGTCCACAGCTGTCAGCGTTGAATGACGTCCTGCAGAAACTGGGCGTCGATCCGTCGGTTGTGAGTGGAAAGATCAAGTGGATCCTTGGTCGACTTTCATATTCCTTTGATTTGTGGGGCTTTAGGTTTCATGTAGTTCTCACGCACAGGTCTCAGATTCTTGCCGCCGTTCGCACGCCTCGAAAAACGTTGGTGCCTTCGATATCATCCTGTTTACATCTAATGACCCGACCGTGACGAAACACAGATTTGTCTTGCATGTCATTCATTTTCTTGCCACGACCGATGTGGACCACAATTGCCATGTTTCGTCATGGTTGAGCAAAGAAGAAACTTGGAACAGTGGACACGAAGAAGGGGTTTGTAAACCAGCAACACCCTGCCAAGAGCTTCAAAGCCAAGGGAAGGGTGCGAAGTCACGGAAATCCACCTGGAGAGGTGCTTGGCTGTAAGCGGGACCCTGGGCGAAGAGATCGGAAAGCTTCCATCTTTGCGGAACTTGAACCTCCAAAAAACCAAGGCAGCAGGAAATTTTGCCAGCTTAGCAAACAACTCCCAGCTGCAGCAGCTGGACCTCAGCCACACACAGGTCTCCGGAGACATCAGCAGCTTTGCAAAGAGCTCCCAGCTGAAGTGGCTGTTTCTCACCAACAGACAAGTCTCCGGAGACATCAGCAGCTTCGCAAACAGCCCCCAGCTGCAGCTGCTGTTCCTTAGCAACACACAAGTCTCCGGCAACATCAGCAGCCTTGCCAACAGCTCCCAGCTGCAGCGGCTGGACCTGAGAAACACACAAGTCTCCGGTGACCTCGGCAGCCTAGCAAACAGCCCCCAGCTGAAGTGGCTGTTCCTCACCAACACACAAGTCTCCGGAGACATCAGCAGCTTCGCAAACAGCCCCCAGCTGCAGCTGCTGTTCCTTAGCAACACACAAGTCTCCGGCAACATCAGCAGCCTTGCCAACAGCTCCCAGCTGCAGCGGCTGGACCTGAGAAACACACAAGTCTCCGGTGACCTCGGCAGCCTAGCAAACAGCCCCCAGCTGAAGTGGCTGTTCCTCACCAACACACAAGTCTCCGGAGACATCAGCAGCTTCGCAAACAGCCCCCAGCTGCAGCTGCTGTTCCTTAGCAACACACAAGTCTCCGGCAACATCAGCAGCCTTGCCAACAGCTCCCAGCTGCAGCGGCTGGACCTGAGAAACACACAAGTCTCCGGTGACCTCGGCAGCCTAGCAAACAACCCCCAGCTGCAGCGGCTGGACCTGACAAACACACACGTCTCCGGAGACATCAGCAGCTTTACAAAGAGCTCCCAGCTGAAGTGGCTGTTCCTCACCAACACACAGGTCTCCGGAGACGTCAGCAGCCTAGCAAACAACCCCCAGCTGCAGCGACTGGGCCTCGTCAACACACAGGTCTCCGGTGACATCAGCAGCCTAGCAAACAGCCCCCAGCTGCAGGTGCTGGGCCTCAGCAACACACAGGTCTCCGGTGACATCAACAGCCTTGCAAACAGCCCCCAGCTGCAGGAGCTGGGCCTCATCAACACACAAGTCTCCGGTGACATCAGCAGCCTAGCAAACAACCCCCAGCTGCAGCGGCTGGACCTGAGAAACACACACGTCTCCGGAGACATCGGCAGCTTGGCAAAGAGCTCCCAGCTGAAGTGGCTGTACCTCACCAACACAGATGTCTCCGGAGACGTCAGCAGCCTAGCAAACAACCCCCAGCTGCAGCGGCTGGACCTGAGAAACACACACGTCTCCGGAGACATCAGCAGCATTGCAAACAGCCCCCAGCTGCAGGAGCTGGGCCTCATCAACACACAGGTCTCCGGGGACATCAGCCTGGCAAACAGCCCCGAGCTGTGGCGGCTGGACCTCGGCAACACACAGGTCTCTGGTGACCTCCGCAGCCTAGCAAACAACTCCCGGCTGCAGTGGCTGGACCTGAGAAACACACAGGTCTCCGGTGACATCAGCAGCCTAGCAAACAACTCCCGGCTGCAGTGGCTGGACCTGAGAAACACACAGGTCTCCGGTGACATCAGCAGCCTGCAAGGCCTCAGCAACATGAAGGAGCTTGCTTTGTCGAACACGTCGGTCTCTGGCAACATTGGCGTCCTTACCAAGTGGCCAGAAATCCAATTGGTGGACCTCGCGCGCACGGAGGTTACTGGGCGGCTTACAGCTTCCTGGCGGGGCCGATGCGCAATGCTGGGGTCCTTGAAGCTAAGCCGCAGCAGAGTGGAGTTCTTGCCGGCTGCTGAGGATCGGAAGGATTTCCAGATGATTCACACGCAAGAAGAGAACGCCATCTTCCCAAAGCTGAGGTTGCTGGAAATTTCTGGATGTCCTTTGCGGGGCAACTTCAGCGACATGTTGCAGCCTCTCTTGGCTTCTGGGGTTCTAACCACCATCAAGGCTGACGGCTGCGGCCTTCTTGGAAGTCTTCCCCAGCTAACTCACATATCCGCTGTTGTTGATGGGACTTCTTGGGCTTCTTGGACTCCTCCTTTGGTGGAGTCCTTGGTGAGTTTGGACCTGTCGTCCAACAAAATGTCCTTCATCGAAGAGATCCCACAAAGAGTGCAGGCCCTGTTGCTGGCAGACAACCCGTCAGTAGCCTTTGCCGCCGGGGTTTTTGCCAAGGCTGTCTCCGACGCCATCTTTGTGGACTTGCAGAAAGTCACGTTGGAGAACAAAACCGAGTCTTGATCTCGACTTGTGTTCAAAGCTTCATCAGAATATGAGAATGTGTCAAGCAACGTTCAATTAATTGTTCAAGCATTTTCCGGACCACCGGAAGCTCTTTTGGGTGCCCGCTCATCCCTGGGACTCACCTGCTTTCCAAGACAAGCAACATGTTACTTTTGAATCAGTTTGTTTGCTTTTTATATCGCAGTTATTTGGTCACCTTTAGTCAATCCCTTTTCTTTGGACTCGTTGCTTGCAACAGTTCGCAATCAAGGAGGCAAAAGAACTCCTGGAAGGGGGTCAGCTCTCCCGTACGGCCAAGCGCTCCTCGGAGAGCATCGAAGGTGGATTCGCCTGCTTCGACCTCACATCGAAGGCACTGCAGATCACGCCAGCACGCTTTCTGCCTATGGAGCTGTGCAGCTGTTCTCCTGGGCGGCAGGGTGCGGGAGCGGACTGCGAGAAGTGCCCAGTGAATCACTTCAAGGAAGGATACAACGGAACCTGCCAGAAGTGTGAGCCAGGAAGCACGGCACCGGAAGGATCCACATCATGCACCTGCGCAGTTGGCGAACCCTACGATGACCACGGCACAAACCGCTGTGGATGCGTTGCTGGCGAGGCCTACAACAGGTCCGAAAACGGGAAGAGTGACTGCCTGCCATGCCACAACTTGCATTTACTTTGCCCGCAACCAGGCATGCTGCTGTCCTCAGCCATGCCGGAAGAGGGCCATGCCCGCCTTCAACAGGGAGACACCGCAGCACTTCCCTGTCTTCCTCCGAAGTACACCAGGTGCAACGCGTCCACCGGCAATGCTTCAAGCACACTGGGGTGCGCAGATGGCTACAGCGGCCTTCTCTGCTCCGATTGTTCCCAAGGTCACTACGCCGCCAGCAAGCTTTGCGAAGCGTGTCCAAGCACAGATGCCATGCCGCAGCTCTTGCACATAGCCATAGCAGCAGCTGTTGCTTTGACCGTAGGTTCGGTGTTGGCCTTAGTGTGGCTACGGCAGAGAACACCGGAAGCAGCAAAACTACCCCAAGCATCTGCGCTGTCAGCGCTCAAAGAGCAGATCAAGGGGCAGGCGCCCATCCTCTTACAATTGTGCCAGGTGTGGGCCGTTCTTGCCGTGCTGGCCAAAGGAGAACAGGGACAGAGCTCAACATCCTTATGGGAACTGCCATACGTAGAGGCGTGAAGAGGGCTGGAAGCATTTAGAAATTTGCGTCTGCAATCTGTTGTTTAGGAGTGGCATCCCGTCATGATCATACTATGGCTCAAGAAAAATACGCTGCAGCCCGTGCTGAATATAGGTAGTTCCCACCTTTCAACAGGTTATCAGCCGTATCGCTGATACCTTGTACAGTCAGCTCTCACCCGCGCCGCCATGGCGTCAAGCGGCGACGAATGCCACCCAGTTATAGCGAAAATGAACGAAGCAGTGGCCAATGAATTGATCAAGGGTGGACATCCGGAAGGGAAAACGCCATGCAATCCGTCACAGCGCTCCCGAAGCAGTTTTCCTGAGCCCGACCAAGGCGATGCGCTCGTGCCCATCACCTCGGTTGTTCTTCCGGAGGATTCAAGGGGAAGCGGAGGGGAACCTCTCGCCGGGCATCATCCAGGGTGCAAGAGATGCATGCGCACATGACGAAGAATGAGACTCATCTTCATCAACATCATGTGTGTGCCCCAAACATATACCAACATAGTCAGACGGTGAATGTGGTCAACACAGGTCCGAGTACAGAAGAAGTGGCTGCCTATGCTTCGGCACGCCATGACGCCATAATCAATCAGCTTCAAGCAGGCCATGTTGAAGAGAAGGGCCGACTCTACCAGGACGCTGTGAACCACATCAATGTGTGTCAACAAGAATCAATGGCGAAAGAAAGAGAGTTCAACGAGGCAAGACAGCAGTGGGTCGCAGTGCGCCTAGAGGCCGAGAAGAAGCACGAACAGCTCAGGTTAATCTGGGAGGTCACGAGCAAGACACAGAAGGAGGATGCCGACAGGAGCGCGGCAGAGATGAGAGAGATCATCATGAAGCAATCGAGGGACATTGAGGCACTACGTCATGAACTGAAATCTCGCAGTGAGCAAAGTAGTTCTTCTAATGTTCCGACTTTCGGACTCAGGCCAAAGGCCTCTCCTGTACAGTCGTTTCCTCCCGGCCTGGACCTTAGTTCTAAGACACGAGTCAGGTCAGCTTCCACCGAACTCCGCCGTGATGGGCCAAGTGCCGCTGATGATCTGGATGATGATGGCGATGAATATGAACCGACATCACCAGCTCAGGATCCAAATGATGGAAACAGGAATCCATCGGGCAAAGGTAACGGCCAGAGCGGAGGCGGTGGGGAACCACCTGCCGGCAATCCCGGTGATGATGATGCTGACGACGACGGCGATGACGATGAAGATGATGGGGGAAAGAAGAGCAAGAAGGACAAGAAGAAGAAGAAGGACAAGAAGAAGAGCAAAAAGGATAAAAAGAAGAAGAAGAAGAGCCACAAGAAGCGAAAGAGTGGATCTCCTTCTGACTCACCAAGCTCTTCATCGTCCAGCTCTTCAACCTCATCTTCCTCATCATCATCATCATCATCGGAGAGAGCCCGTGCGATCCGCAAGAAGCTCAACAAGATTTTGGGCAAGCAGGCACCCATTGTGGATGCTGACCATGATAAGCCCAAGGTCAAGGAAGCTGAGAGGATCGTCATTCCCTCTTTTCCACTCCCTGAGAGTTACAGGAACTGGCGCATCAAGGTTCGGGAGGCCGTGTGTGCGGCATCTGATCGTCCCGATGACGCCTTCAAGTGGATCAGCAGAGTGTGGGAGCCAGCCGTCACGATCGAGGAGCTCAAGGATCCAGGTACGTTCCTCACCTTGGACGCCAAGTTGCTATCCGCCCTCGCCAACATCATTCAGGGTGACCTGGCGAGACAGCTTGACACATTCAAGGAAATCGAGGCACAGAAGGGAAATCCTGTTCGTGAAAGACAAGTACTCCTTATGGTACATGAGCGCTTGAGTACGAACATCAAGCACGGAGCAACCTACGCCATGGAGGATCTCCTCAACGTGAGGCTTGTGAACGATAACCTCACTTCCTTCATGCGAAGCTGGGAAGGCGTTCTTGCAGGAATGAATGCCAAAACGCCGGATGACTCAATGCTTGAGGCTCTGTTCTACAATCAACTGAAGAAGAGCAAACAAATGCAACACCATTTGAATGTCTATTTGAGCGCCTCGGAAGAGTCCGCCGAACACACATATACCTACTTGATAGAATCCGTGAGGCAATACCTGTCCCGAGCCAGGCTCGAGCGCAACGGTGCCTAGGCAGAACGGTGGTAGACCAGCCGCACCCGCCGCTGAGAGCCAACGTGTGCCTAAAGGGTTTTGCATTGCTTTTGTCAAGCATGGGTCGTGTCAGCGGGACAATTGCACGTACAAGCACGAACAGCCATCGAGCAATCCTAGGGGAAGGACCCCGTCAAGGGACGCCAAACCAAAGAAGGGTAAGGGTAAAGGCCGGACGAATAGCCCGAAAGGGAAAAAGGAATGCCGTTTCTACCCTAAGGGAAGGTGTGACCGAGGCGAGAACTGCCCGTTCGTTCACATCGATCCGAGGCCGGCTGTTCCCGGGTCCGCAGACAAGCAGAAGAAGGAAAGGAAGGATCGGAAGCCAAGAAAGTCGAGTAGGGATCGTTCCAAGTCGACCTCTCGATCCACCTCCCGTGACTCGAAAGGAGACAAGAAGAAGAGTCACAAAGGGAAATCCTCCGGAAAGCCTTCTCCTGCTGCCGTGTGTGTGTTGGCATGCTTGCTATCGTCCATGACGAATGCCCCTGTCGCTGAGGGGAACCTCATGTCGAATTGGAAGCAAATGCCTGCCCTTCCAAATGTGCGTTTTAGCTCAAGGGTTGAAGTGAATCAGATACCAGCACGTGGTGAGCAGTGCAAAATCGAGGACAGACCGCGCGTGTATTCAAAGGTCTACCCAATTGACCACCCGTTCTCTCATGATCAGATCACAATTGATGATGCCAGGCTTGAAGCAGTCATGCTCGCTTACACTGTTAGACGCGAAGTGGAAGGCCATCCGGCCGCATGCGGATATGAGTGTGATAGCGAGATTGGTTGCAAGCATTGTACCCCAAAAGACATGGGAGCCAAGCCTGCGCTTCCGAGCAAGAGATTTTCTCCGAACTGTTCATGGATTATCGATACCGGGAGTGGAACAGACCTTTTTACCCGTGCGAACTGCCCCGAATATGCAGTGTATAATTCAAATGACCCCGTGATGTTGATGACTGCCAACGGGCCAAGTGATTCCTCAAAGCAGGCCAATATGGCCGCAGGCGATCTTGGGGACACAGATCCATATTTGTTGCCGCAAACCCCATCGGTTCTCTCTGTTGGCTTGAAATGCATGAATCAAGGCTATGACTTCGTGTGGTATGCAAATAAGAAGCCATTCTTTGTCAAGCCTGACGGGACGCGCATAAATCTCACAGTTCGAGATTATGTCCCGTACTATTGACGTGTGGGACGGTGAATCAGCCACGGCGTGTCCTGCCAAGACTAAGCCGCAGAGACGACCGGAAGGTCAGGTCGGTGAAAGCAGTGCATCCAGCGACACCTCACACTCTTCCGCGCTCTGAAGACATGCTGGAAGAAGAATACACGCCTAGCATTGCCCCTCCGGAGGATCCAGAGGTGCATGCTAGGGTCGTCGCTGAACTTCTGGCAGATGACCCTGGTGAAGCTAACCCAAACGAACATGTTGAGCCAGTAGAGAGTAAAGATTTGGCGGGGGAGGATGTTGTCGGTAACCCTGATCAGAAAACGCCTAGATCACTTGCAGAGAGTGCCCTTAGGCAGGAAGCAGCGTCACGGAAGCACCTAGTGACGCACCAGCCAAAGAACCCATTCTGCGAAGTGTGCAAATGCGCCAAGATGACCAAGTCTCCCTCTCGCTCGCGGGGGGGATCCAGGCAAGTTGATGCTCGAAAACTTGCTGAGCACATCACAGCCGATGTCATAATAACTGCAGATGAACAGGAGTTGAGCATGGATGATGAATACTCTGCCCTTGTCATAAGTGACGTTGCCACTGGTTTCAAATATGCATCTCCCTTTGCTAAAAGAAACACAGAAGCCACTGTGAAGGCTTTTCAGCATTTCACATCCCCATCAGATGAGGTTGGCACATTTTTCAGTGACAACGCCCCAGAGCTAATTGCTGCAGCGGAAGAGATGGGCTGGAGGCATGTTCTCAGTCAAGAGTACATTCACAAATCGAACGCGGTGGCTGAACGAAGCATCAGGACCGTGCTCGAGGGAACTCGAGTCGCACTTGCGCAAGCCGGTTTGAACCATTCATACTGGCCACACGCCGCAAGGCATTGGTGTTTGTCTCAGAATGTATGTGAACCACCTTCTGGTTCTAGGACACCTTGGAATCTTAGGTTCGACGAGGAATTCAAAGGTCAGTTCTTGCCGTTCGGACGCCGCATTGACTACTGGATTGGCCCAAGACAGAAACCAAAGAAGGACTTGAAATTCGACCCCACTTCCAATCCGGGAATCTTTGTTGGATATGTGATCCACCCCGGCTTTCTATGGAGAGGTGATTACATTGTTGCATCGTTGAAAGAGCTGAATGAGACGGATTTTGATGATCTCGTGAAATTGCATCGTGTGTTCAAAATCACGAGGCCCGATGGGAATTTCGTTTTCCCGTTGCAGGACCGATACAAATCCCTTCGTGAGGGCAAAAAATAATCAACACGGTCCGGTCCCACAATTCAGGATGCTCCCCTCCTAGAGGCGGGACAAGATCCGGAGGACGTTGCCGATGTGGGGGATGAGACACTTCTCGACGAGCCAGCTCCATCCAAGGTGGAAACAATCAAAACTGTTGATCATAAAACGGGTAGGTTAGTGGAAATCCCGAAAGAAGGCTCCTCATTCTCGGAGGCGGGAGGCTTTCTAGTGAGGAAGTATAAGGGAACAAAAAGACCACCCACCATATCATCCTTCATTTGGCAGTCTATGTCTCAGAAGCAGCGTAGAGAAGCCAAACAGAAATACGAAAAGGATAAACTGGTCGAGTCTATGCCCAGTGCAACTGATCGGCCGGCATCGAGCAAGGAGCGCAAGGCGGCCGTTGCCGGAGCCAAGGAG